AGAACTATGTTAAATGGGAATATTTAGAGTGGACATAGTTATTTTTATTCGTAGAATGCATCAAGCTTTTGCCTGTTTAGTATAATGTTGGCTGAGGTTTGTCATAGATGACTCTTATTATTGTGAAGTATGTTTTTTCAATGCCTTGTATGTTGAAAATATTTTTATGAATGAACATTAAATTTCTCTTAATGATTTTTCCACATCCATTGTAATAATTATATGGTTTAATCCTTTTAATTGTCTTTATATGGTGAGTTACACTTATTGACTTGCATATGATAAACACCCTTGCATTCATGAAATAAAACTCACATGATTATGGCAAAATAACTTTTTGATTTGTTTGTGAACTCAGCTTGTTAGTATTTCATGAAAGATTTTTGTTTCAATGTTCATCAGGTATATTGAACTATAGATTTTCTTGCCATCTTAACTAAATTTTGGTATCCAGATAATACTGATTTCATATAACGACTTAGGAAGGATTAGTACAAGCTCAACTTTGTATATGTGGTAGAATTTGGCTATGAATTCATCTGATCCAGGGCTTTTTATACTATGTAGGGTTTTTTTATTATAAATTTAATTTTATCATGAATTTTTCCTCTGTTCAAGACTTCTCTTTCTTCCTGGTTCAGTCTTGGGAGATTGTGTGTATACAGTTTATCTATTTTTTTAAAATTTTCTAGTTTGCATGCATAGAGATATTTATAGTAGTATCTGAGGATGTTCTGTATTTATATAGGATTAGTTGTGATTTCACAACTCTAACATTTAAATAAATACAGAATAAAAGTTTCAAAAAATTCAACATTTCCTCGTGATAAATCTCTGAAAAAAAAAATAGGTACAGGACAAATGCATCTCAAGCCAATAAATGCCATGTATAACCAAAAAATGCAAAGCTAACAACATACTAAACAGGAAAGGGTTGTAAGTTTTTACTCTAAGAGCTAGAACAAGACAAGGATGCCCACTTCCTTCAGATTTGCTGAATGTAGTACTAAATATTTAAGACAGAGAAATTAGAGAATAAAATAAAAGGAATCCAGACTGAAAACACCAGAAAGTTAAACTATCCCTCTTTGCACATAACATAATCTAAAGTATAGAAAAGACTAACACTTCACTAAGAACCACCAGAACTAATAAACAAATTTGTTAAACTTGTAGAATTTAAAATCAACATTAAATAGTATCATCTTTACACATTAAAAATTATCTCAAAATGAAATTTAAAAACAATCCCATCTACAATAACTGTAGTAACTATACTTTGAAATAAATTTAATCAAAATGTTAAAACACCATATATTATAACCTAAAGAACATACAAGTAAAAATTAAATAATAAATAAATGGAAAAGTAGTACTTATTCATGATTTGGCCTTATTAATACTGCTAAATATCTGTATTACACAAAATGATCTATAGATATAATGCAAACTCTATCAAAATACCAATTACACACTTAATAGAAATTTTTTAAAAAATCTAAAATTTGGCAGGGCATGGTGGCTCAAGCCTATAATTCCAGCACTTTGGGAGACTGAGGTGGGTGGATCACCTGAGGTTGGGAGTTCGAGACCAGCCTGACCAACATAGAGAAACCCCGTCTCTAGTAAAAATACAAAATTAGCCAGGCATGGTGGTGCATGCCTGTAATCCCAGCTACTCAGGAGGCTGAGGCAGGAGAATTGCTTGAATCAGGTAGGCAGAGGTTGTGGTGAGCCAAGATCATGACATTGCACTCTAGCCTGGGCAACAAGAGTTAAACTCTGTCTCAATCAATCAATCAATCAATCAAAAATTTATATGGTACCACAAAAGACCCTGAATAGCTAAAGCAACCAAGTAGAAAATTAAAAAAATAAAAATAGGCTGAAGGTATCACTATACCTGACTTTGAAATATCCTACTAATTATAATAACCAAAACAGTATGGTACTTGAATAAAAACAGACACATAGGTCAATGGAGCAGAAAAGAGATCAGAAATATATCCACATATTTAAGCTAACTTATTTTACAATTTCCTCAAAAAAAGGACAGCATCTTCAACAAATGAGGTTGAGAAAACTTTATATCCACATGCAGAGAAACAAAATGAGACCCTCTTCTCACACCAAATATAAAAATCAACTAAAATTAGATATTTAAATGTAAGGCTTAAAACTCAGAAATTACTAAAGAAAATAAAGAGTGAAAGCCCATAACATTGATTTAGGCCATGACTTTTATTATTTAACCTCAAAATTCAACAAAACCAAAAGAAAAATAGATAAGTTAGATTACTTGAAATTAAAAAGCTGCTTCATGGAATCTGACAAAATCAACAAAATGAGACAACTGAAAAAATGGGAGAAAATATTTGCAAATCATACGTAGGACAAGCGGTTAATAACAAAAACACATAAAACACTTAAATGACTATAAGACAAAAGACAAATAACTATTAAAATGAGCAAAAGGCTTAAATATTTTTCAAGAAAAGACAAATGGTCAAGATACATAAAAAATGCTCAATATCAACTATTATCAGGAAAGCAAAAAGAAAAACTAGGAGATTATCAACTCACTCCTGTTAGAATTACTCTTATTAAAAAGAAAAGAAAGGGTTAGTCAAAGTATGAAGAAAAGGGAATGCTTGCACACTGTTGGTTTGAATGTGAATGAGGAGAGTCATTATGAAAAATGAAAATTTGTCAAAGAATTTAAAATTAAACCACAATATAATACAGCAATTTTACTGATATATATCTGAAACAAGTGAAATCAGAATGAAGAAACATATTTGCTTCTACGTTGTTTGCAACACTCTTCACAATTACCAAAATACAGAACCAACAGTTCAACATTTATGAGTAAATAGAGACAATGTGGTATATATACACAATGGAATACTATTTCTTTAAAAAAGAAATTTCTATTATTTTCAATCACATGAATTAACCTGGAAGACATTATATTTGTCTAAATGAGCCAGGCACAAAGATTATTTTTCATGATTTTACTTACACAGGGAGTCTTAAAAGCTTAATCCCATTAAAGTAGAGAGTAAAGTGGTGACCACCAGACATGAAGGTATTTAGAAAAAAGGGGGGTTTTGAAAGATGTTGGTCAAAGAATACATAATCATAGTTGAATAGGAAGAATAAGTTTAAGAGATCTTTTTGTACAACATAGTGACTACAGATCATAACAATGTAGTTGTGTTTTTGAAAAACGCTGACAATGTCACATACTCCGACCATAAAAATGTTAGCGATGTTAGGTAAAGCCTTAATTACCTAGAATTAAGCATTTGACAACATACACTTGCAAACATCACGTTGTGCAGAATAAGTACACATTTATTTATTACAGATGGTAATAGCATAAAAGACACTAAAAGGGCAGGTGTTGCTTATGGTCTCATGACTGGCCACCTTGTGAACACAAAAAACAAATTTGCATAAATATAACAGAAAATGTTTAATCCAAAAGCTGCTATAATCTTCAAAAGTTTTCTAGAGAAAATGACCAAGAAGCTGACTATAGTTAGGTGACAAAGAACAAAAACTGTACACTCACCTTCACCCACTAAAAAAAAATGAGTGAAAAATTCCTCAAAATTGTAATACCAATATAAAAAAGAAATATTATTCCAAATATGAAATCCACAGAGGTAATTTTATTATTTTGCAACCTTTAAATTTCACATTTAAAAATAAAAGATTCTGCATGGAAATGTATGTTGTGCTATATCATAGAAAATTAAATTTAAAATTCTTTACTTACCATTAGCTCTCTTATAAATTAATTTCTAAGATGTATTTTCTAGCAAATTTTATATTTGTCACAACATATTTGCACTACAGCCTGGGCAACAAGAGTGAAACTCTGTTTAAAAATTTAGTAAGTTTTTCCTTTTACAAACAGAAAAGAAAAAAAACAATGCTAACTAATTTAATCCTCTCACTTGTGGACAGTGAATGCCTTTTATCTTAATGAACTGATCAGAAAGTTATATTGATAAGCACTCTCCAGTGAAAAGCGATTTTTGAGTGCATTAAAAATATCAACTTTCTCATCAAAACCTACAAAGTACCATATAAAATGACATGGCATGAAGACAACAGTGAGAAAATTGGAGCCATCACATAGAAAAAGGAGAAGGGCTGTGATGAATACACAGAAGTCACATAAGACAAACGAAACTAAAGGTAATTAGGAAATGAAAGAACCAAAATTTCTTTTTAAATTCAGCAAGATTTAGCTTTGCAGCATGGGAAAAAAAGTTATCTGCACATGAAGAATCAATGTTATTTCTTCACTATTGGTATTTTCCATCTCTGACTTGAAGTTACAAACTAACTCCAGCAGGAATGTTTACAGCCTATTATGGAGCATCTGTTACACAGCAACCACTGTCATATTTGTTTGCCACATTTATATATAAAAACATCCTCATAACTTATGAAGTATTCCTAGTTCTTACCTGAACAAACTGGCTCAATAAATAAATTAACTTACGTCAATTATAACAAGAGAAAAGAATAAGAAATATAGGCTTATATAGGATTCTCCAATTAAAAGAACAAATGGAATGTTCTAACTAAATACAATATAATTAATAAACAATTTTGGAAATACATCTAGAATTATCTTGTGTGCAGTACTAAATTTTATAAAAATCATTCTTACAATCCATGAACAGCTCACATAATAAATACCTCATAAACTATAAAAGAAAAAAATGGTAAGAAACAAGAAAATTATAGGTCTAGCATGACTAACAGGCAAGTAAAAACAACATTTGCATGGAGAGATTCTGAATCATAAGTCAGAAGATCTGAAAGTAATGAATTCAATACAAAGCAGAGTATACATTTACTTTCAGCATTTTTGAAGTTTTCAGTTGTCTAGTAAATTACTTTATTAAAATATTTGTTTTGTTCCAATATTGCTCTTTTCTTTTGAAAATAGGTACAAACTCACACTCACACAAAAACACTCCATAATTTTCTAGCACCTAAGGTTTATTTTTAGGGTCATATATGTGTATAGTTAACTCTATGTAAACCAATACTAAAATTCTGTTATGTTTGCAGGCAGAGAGACATGTTCAAAGAAAAATACATAACAAAATTTTTAAAATGTTTAGGCAGAACTCAGAATTTTAAGATTCAGGATTTTATTTATACTTGTATATAATTTTTATTATGCCCATGAAAATGACCCTATAGTCAATAGCAATTTACTTGTACATTTTAAAGTAACTAGAAGTGTAGACTTGGTTTGTAATACGAATGATAAACGCTGGAGTTGATGGGTACTACATTTGCCCTAATGTGATTAATATATATTTATATGCCTGTATCAAAATATGCTATATATGGCATAAATATATACACATACTATGTACCCATAAAATTTAAGAAAAATATGTTTAAATAAAAAAAAAGAATAAAAATTTAACCTATGAGAACAATGTTCTTTAATTAAGTTCTTTAGTTTAAAGTCACTGGCAAGAGAAATTATTAGAGATGTTAGTCCACTATGTTATTACACAGTACAATGTCACTATCTTTTACCTACACCCTTGGGTAAGGTGGGATAGGTTAAAGTTAGTGGCGTAATAACACTTCATTGAATGCACAATGGTCTTAACACGTTAAAAAAAAGTTTAATTAAAAAATTAACTTCACAATAATCTAAAATTTTTTTTAATGTGCTGCATTTTATTACATAGAAATACAATTAGAATGATGATACACTACTAATTTTAATTTAATTTTAACTAAAACAAAAGATATTTTCACTAGAATGCAGAAGAATATTCCTCTGAACACCTCCCTCATACATCAATCAATATTTTAAATTAAACACAAAGCGCCTGTCCACTTAGATTTTTATCATGCATCCTACATTGTAATGTCTTTACTCTTCCATAGGAAAGGTCAAAAATAATGCCCACCTAACAAAAAAGAATGTCTCATGTCTTTGATGAAGCAACAATTGATCACGTTTTTACATGTTTTACAGGTTTTTACATTTTACGTGATCTTTATTGTATGAAGATCACGTTCTTCATACAATAGGAATGAAGAGCATGAAGTAATTTGAGTTGAATTACATCACTCACTTTTTAAAAATTCTGTAATTTTTTCAAAGAAAAAAGTATACTTTAAATGTAATTATAACTAAAAATATTTCTACCTCTTTTAAAGTTATATACAAATAATTTATCTATCAACTTTAATTTTGGAGCATTTTCTGTACTCAGCACACTGATTAAGTGCAATGTCTGAAGTGTCAGTGCCTTAGATATTTCTACTGTGAATTCTCTGATATTTACACCCAGTTAATTTTGCATTAAATTTCTTTTATACTTACTGCATCTTCAAAAATATATTTTAGTATGAGTCCCCTGGTGTTTTCTAAGCAGTAGTTCTTGAAAAAATGTTTTTCCAAATATACTACATTTGCAGTTTTTCTCCAATATAAACTCCCTGATGTTAATCAAAATTTGATCACTGCTTCAGGATTTTCCTTTAGTACATAATGTGTACAACAAAATCTGTGATACAAGTAAAGACACTACAACCCTCTTTATGTTCCTAATATGTGTCTTCAAAATGCTCATATCTCTTTAAAGGCTTATTTTTGTCAGGCACAGCAACTCACACCTATAATCCCAGCAATTTGGGAGGCAGAGGCAGGTTGATCATTTGAGGTCAGGAGTTCAAGACCAGGGTGGCCCACATGGTGACAGTCAGTCTCTACTAAAAATAAAAACAATTAACCAAACGTGGTGGTGTGCGCCTGTAGTCTCAGCTACTCTGGAGGCTAAGGCAGGAGAACTGCTTGAACCTGGGAGGCAGAGGTTGCAGTAAGCCAAGATCACACCACTGCATTCCAGCCTGGGTGACAGAGCAAGACTCCATCTAAAAAAGAAAGTTTTTGTTTTCTGAGTTTTTTACATTAACTGCATTTATAATGCTTTTATTAAGCAATAACTCTCTAATGTTGAGTAAGATGTAACCAGATATTAATGGCTTTTCCACATTTATATTTGTACAATTTTTCTGAAGGGCTTTCCTGTGCAATAAGGTGTGAAAATTAATAAAAGTTTTGCCACATTCTTCGCACTTCTGGGAGTTTTCTCCAGTATAAATTATCTTACTTATAATCAAGTGTGACAACCATTTAAAGGCTTTGTAACATTCTTCACATTTTTAGGATTTCTCACCAGTATGATTGCTTGAAGGTGTTTTCAAAATCATTGTCTCATCTTTTAGGTTTGTAAAGTTTCCAGTATTAATTTTCTTACGTTTAGTAAAGTTTGAGATTTAGTTAAAAGCATTGCCACATTATTCACATTTGCAGGGTTTCTCTCAAGTATGAATTGTCTTATGTGGAGTAAGGGTTGAGGATAGGTTAGCTTTGCCACATTCTTCACATTTGTAGGGTTTCACTCCAGTATGATTTTTCTTATGTGCAGTAAGGTTTGAGGATAAGTTAAAAGCTTTGCCACGTTCTTCACATTTGTAGGGTTTCACTCCAGTATGATTTTTCTTAATGTGCAGTAAGGTTTGAGGATAAGTTAAAAGCTTTGCCATATTCTTCACATTTGTAGGGTTTTGCTCCAGTATGATTTTTCTTATGTGCAGTAAGGTTTGAGTATAAGTTAAAAGCTTTGCCACATTCTTCACATTTGTAGAGTTTCTCTCCAGTATGAATTATCTTATGTACAGCAAGGTGTGAGAACTGTTTAAAAGCTTTACCACATTCTTTACATTTGTAGAGTTTCTCTCCAGTATGAATTACCTTATGCTTAGTAAGAGTTGAGGACCGGTTAAAGGCCTTGCCACATTCTTCACATTTGTAGGATTTCTCTCCTGTATGATTTTTTTTATGTTCTGTAAGGTTTGAAGATCTGTTAAAAACTTTGCCACATTCTTCACATTTGTAGCATTTCTCTCGAGTGTGAATTATTTTATGTGTAGAAATGGTTAAAAGCTTTACCACATTTTTCAGTTTTGAGGATTTTGAGTTTTGAGGATTTGAGTTTTTGAGTTTTGAGGATCGACTGAAAGTTTTGCCACATTCTTCACATTTGTAAGGTTTCTCTCCTGTATGAATTTTTTTATGTATAGTAAGAGTTGACACTTGGTTAAAAGCTTTGCCACATTCTTCACACTTGCAGGGTTTCTCTCCAGTATGAATTTTCTTATGTGTAGTAAGGTTTACGTATAAGTTGAAAGCTTTGCCATATTCTTCACATTCATATGGTTTCTCTCCAGTATGAATTATTTTATGTGTAGTAAGGGTTGAGAACTGGTTAAAAGCTTTTCCACATTCTTCACATTTGTAAGGTTTCTCTCCAGTATGAATTTTCTTATGTTTAGTAAGGTTTGAAGATCGGTTAAAAGCTTTGCCACATTCTTCACATTTGTAGGATTTTTTTTCTCCAGTATGAATTTTTTTATGTTCAGTAAAGTTTGATGATCGATTAAAAGCTTTGGCACATTCTTCACATTTGTAGGGTTCCTCTCCAGTATGAATTATCTTATGTGTAGTAAGGGTCGAAGATCGGGTAAAAGCTTTGCCACATTCATCACATTTGTATAGCTTCTCTCCAGTATGAATTATCTTATGTTTAGTAAAAGTTGAGAAATTATTAGAAGTTTTGCCACATTCTTCACACTTGTAAGGTTTCTCTCCAGTATGAATTTTCTTATGTTCAATGAGTTTTGAGGATCAGGTAAAAGCTTTGCCACATTCATCACATTTGTACTGTTTCTCTTCAGTATGAATTATCTTATGTGTAGTAAGCGTTGAAGATCGGTTAAAAGCTTTGCCACATTCTTCACACTTGTAGGATTTCTCTCCAAGATGAATTTTTTTATGTGCAGTAAGGTTGCAGGACAGGTTAAAAGCTTTGCCACATTCTTCACATTTATAGGGTTTCTCTCCAGTATGAATTATCTTATGTCCAATAAGGGTTGAAGATCGGTTAAAGGCTTTGCCACATTCTTCACATTTGTAGAGTTTCTCTCCAGTATGAATTTTCTTATGTGTACTAAGTTTTGAGGATAGGTGGAAAACTTTGCCAGATTCTCTACATTTGTAGGGATTCTCTCCAGTATGGATTATCTTATGTGCACTAAGGGCTGAGGACTGGTTAAAGGCTTTGCCACATTCTCCACATTCATAGGGTTTCTCTCCAGTATGAATTAGCTTATGTCTAGTAAGGTTTGAGAGCTGGTTAAAAGCTTTGCCACATTCTTCACATTTGTAGAATTTCTCTGCAGTATGAATTTCTTATGTTCGGTAAGGTTTGAAGATCAGTTAAATGCTTTGCCACATTCCTCACATTTGTAGGGTTTCTCTCCGGTATGAATTTTTTTATGGTCAGTAAGGTTTGAAGATTGTGTAAAAGCTTTGCCACATTCTTCACATTTGTAGAGCTTCTCTCCACTATGAATTCTCTTATGTGTAGTAAGGGTTGGGGACTGGTTAAAGGCTTTACCACTTTCTTCACATTTGTACGGTTTCTCTCCAGTATGAATGTACTTATGTTCAGTAAGTTTTGAGGATCGGTTAAAAGCTTTGTCGCATTCTTCACATTCATAAGGTTTCTCTCCCGTATGAATGATCTTATGTGTATTAAAGGTTGAGAACTGGTTAAAAACCTTGCCACATACTTTACATTTGTAGGGTTTCTCTCCAGTATGAATTAACTTATGTTCAGTAAGCTTTGAGGCTTGGTTAAAAGCTCTATCACATTTCTCACATTTGCAGGGTTTTTTCCCCAGTATGAATCGTATTATGTGTAGTAAGAGTTGATGACTGGTTAAAGGCTTTGCCACATTCTTCATATTTGTAGGGTTTCTCTTCAGTATGAATTCTCTTATGTCTAAGAAGGTGTGAGGTCTGATTAAAGGCTTTGCCACATTCTTTACATTTGTAAGGTTTTTCTCTGGCATGAATTCTCTTATGTTTATTAAGGGTTGAGGACCAGTTAAAGGCTCTTCCACATTCTTCATATTTGTAGAAATTCACTCTAATATGGATACTTTTATGTTGAGTTAGGTGTGAAGGCATGCAAAATGTTTTGCCACATTCTTTACATTTAAAATGTTTATTTTCAGTATGCCTCATCTTGTGTCTATTTGAATTTGAAATTTTATGGAAAACTTTTACATATTCATCACATTGAAATATTTTGCTCCAGGTAGTTTTCAAACATTGGTTAAGTCCACCATAATCTCCTTTGTGCTGCTTACACTCAATCACACTTTTACAGCCTTTTCTTAACTTTAAATTCTCATATCCACATTTTCTGTATCTTCCTAGGGTCACTTTTTGGAAAGAATCTCTTACGTTCTGCTCTGGCCAAAGGTGTTGGGCAAAATAATAAAACATAACTGAAAGAAATAAAAATAACAAATTACTTCACTTGCTCAACTCAGATGAATATACTTTACAAATCTAACCCATAAAGTTACACAGACTACATAAGCAAGATGGCATAGCAAAATACCACAGGTTTGAATTCCTTCATAGACACATAAATGTAACAAAAGCATACTGACCAAAATGCATTTGTGGAAAATTTATAAATGAGTTAAGTGTGTGTAGTGTTCCAGGTTAGCACAATGCCAAAAGCCACATCAAAGGAAAAGTCTGTTACATTTACCCAACACAGTTCTTTCTGTTTCTCAATATAACATAGCGTCTTTAGAAGTAAATGACCAACTTTTGCTTTCTTTTTCAAAAGACAAGAAAAATAACACACCCACATCTTTATTTCTGGCTTTATTAGGAGGTTTTGCTGACACTGGTTTCTGTCTCCTACAACAAAAAGTGCAAAAATTAACAGCGGTATACTTTGGAATGACATTTTGAGTCTGCTGAGATCAAAGGTAAATGTTACAGCAGGAAAGAGACTGTACTACAGACAGAGAACAGTTGTAGCAAGTGATGACTATTAAGAAACATGAATAAAGTCTTTTAACTAAAAAACAACTAGAACATTTCAGACAAGACACAGCCTAAGAACATGTTTGAAAGACTCTCAGGATCTCTAGCTAAGACAAATGGTTTCAGACTTTGCCAGGACAAAGCTACATTATAGACACTGTGACAGGTAGCTTGTTTTCAATGTTCAAATTTCAATTAAAGATTACAATGTATACAAAATTTTAGGGCAACATAGCTCTATCCAATCTTATAAAATTTTCAGAAAGCAACCATTAAAAAAATTAATTTTAAAAAGTTAACATAAATTGAATAATACTCCATGAATGAAATAGGAACACAGACAACTATTAAAAATCAGAAAAATTGGGATAACAGAAATATTAAAAATATCAAAAAACAGAAATTGTGGAGGTAGAAAATACGAAAAAGGAACTGAAATATTATAAGAAAAAATGATGTAAAAAATGAAAAAGCTTAACAAAGAAACTAGAATACATGCAAATATATTTACAATAAGAACATATATAAGCACAATTTTAAAAGTCACAGACAAGAGAATCTTGTGAGTTTCAAGACAAAAATGATGTGTTATTTATAAGAATAGTCTTATGAGGTAATGAGTGAATTTCTCAAGAAAATTTTACAGGCCAGAAGGGAACTGTGTGACATTGTCAAAGTCCTGAAGAAAATAGCTGTAGCAAATACCAGCAGCAAATCTGTCCTGCCAAATAAAAAGAAAAAGCCAATCTAAAATAGCCAAATCCTGAAAACGTATACTGGCACTACATATGCTTTACATATGCAACTATATTTCAAAACCATAGTAGTAAAAACAGAATGGAATATACAGAAAAATAAACAACAACAACAACAAAAAGCAATGGAACAGAAACCACTACTCACACATTTCAGACTTGATGCAAAAAGAATTTAAAAAACTGTTTAACGTAGAGTTTCTCAAAATTATGCACATTTGTGTATCCCCCAAAACAATAACAACAACAACAACAACAAAAACAGTCAGATTGTGCAGTCTTTTATATCCCATGAAGAGGACATTGGCTTTCACTGTGAAATTGAAGACAGATCACTAAAGGGAAAAAGGAATCCTTAGAGAAGTGAAAAACAAGACAGAAAATGTCCTATGCGAGAGAAAAAAAAAACAAAAACAAACTCAAGTTTTCCAGAAACTATTTCCTTTGGAACACAGCTTACCAAATCACATTTTAAACAGTGGCCTTCTCCTTGGCCTTTTGACCTCTTCTCTGTGCCATCTGTGTATTCACTCTCACTTACCTGAATGTTTAGCTACCATCTCAGGTCTCTTCATATCCCAGGGCTCTTTTTCTTGCTCCAGACAGCTAATCAAGTCTGGCTTACAGACAGCAATACCTGTTTTATTGAAAATAAATGACATAAATCTTGCACATATTCTCCAATTACCAACCTAGTAGTGTGCTCAGTAAAGAGAATGTAATAGAATATTCTAGTACATTAATCCCCAAATGCTAATTTATGACAAAAATTTCTAAAGATTTAGAAAATATTTTAAATTTGTAGTTTCTTAATTTCACTACCTGGTACTACTGAATCAAAACAATTGGTGTTGGGAGTTAGATTTTAAGGTATGGGCAACAATATTTTATGCCAATACATTTCAAAAATTACCACTAATCAAGAGTGAATGATAAAGATCAGCTCAGGAATGCAGAAAGTTATGGTAAAGATAAAATATCTTGAAGAAACTATTTTCTACAATGACAAATCTAAAAGATTTTTTTTGAAAACAGGGATCCGAAACTCATTTATGCAAAGCATAAATCACCAAAAACATTCTAGAAAAAAGAGAAATAAAACCTTTAGGATATATTAGAAAATGTGTATTGAAGCTACCCGCACCCAAGAAAACCAGGTTTCTGTAGTTCTCTAACATCACATGCCTATATAAACTCTGCTGTGCACTGTCCAGGCACTGCCACTCCTCCAAAGAGAATTCTATGGCCACAACCATAAACGTCAATGGTCCCTGAAAAACATAAAAACACACACACAAAAAAAATCACATACATTTGCCAAGTGGCCATGGGCATAATTTTAAATTTCAAGGTAAAATAAGACAGTAAAGAAAACTGGTTCTGACTTATAGGAGTGAATGAAATTATCCCTAAAATAATTCTTAACATAGAAATATTTTCTAATGTATTATCTAACCCTGAGAAAAGAAAGTGGCATAAGAGCCACAACATCTGTGTATATATGGTACTTTTCCGGTTAACAGAGTATAAATTAGGGCATAAACACAAACACGTCTATTTTTAAATGCTATATCTGCATCATATAGAATGAGTTGTGTATATTTTTGAGATGAAAAAGACATGTTGAGTTAAAAGGTGCCTCATGGCCGCGTGCACTGGCTCAAGCCTGTAATCCCAGCACTTTGGGAGGCCCAGACGGGCAGATCACGAGGTCAGGAAGGAGATCGAGACCATCCTGGCTAACACGGTGAAACCCCGTCTCTACTGAAAAATAAAAAAAACTAGCCAGGCGAGGTGGTGGGCGCCTGTAGTCCCAGCTACTCGGGAGGCTGAGGCAGGAGAATGGCCTAAACCCGGGAGGCGGAGCTTGCAGTGAGCTGAGATCCGGCCACTACACTCCACCCTGGGCGACAGGGCGAGACTCCGTCTCAAAAAAAAAAAAAAAAAAAAAAAGGTACCTCACAAGTTTTAATGTGTACGATAAACTTGAGATCTTGTTAATGCAGATTATCTTTTCAGAAGATCTGGAATCGTTTGATATTCTAAATTTCTAACAAGTTCACCAGTAATGTCAATGTTTTTGGTCCACTTACTGGATGTCAAACATCCACTAAGTGGATGAACCCATGTTTTTCCCAGTTTCTCTGGCCTGTAAAAAGGGATGACAGTTTTCATTTTCCTAAGGCAGATACATGCACAGAAAACCTAAGAAAGGCAGCTGCCAGATTAAATGTTATGATTTATGCACATCAGCAGCATAAAGATACTTCACAATGAAGAGAAAAATAATTATAGTAAAGAAATCTGTCCAAGAGCTCTTTAACCAAGTGAATCATTAACATCAACTGCACTAGGACAAATTTTTGTAATGTGCTGATGCACACAGAAAAATGCAGCATCACTGCTGTGATATTGATCTCAAAAGTAAATTAGAGTTTGAATTTAACCACAAAAAAATTAGTTTTATGGGAACTTCAAGATACAGATAATTTGTATGTTCTGTAATTTTTAATAGTGATTTTAAGTAGTCTTTCTTTAGCACCCTAAAGAGCAGGTATCCATCTCCTAATAATTTGTTTCAGAACTTTCTGGGTAATTAATGCCATTCTGTTTGAAAGAACATTTTGTTAATCGTGTTCTGCATAGAGCTAATGGAGAAGAGATGGAACCTCATTACATGTTCTCCTTCTTTACTAAAGACCCCAGCTTTTCCCCAATAGGAATCTTGAGTAGTCACACCTTCCCATGTTCAGCAGCCACAGAGGGAACATTTTTCATGTTGCAGATTATAAATTCATAATGAGATTTCTACGTAACATATAAAGAGCCATGACGTAGAGATGTAGAGAAGCCTCTGGTACGTAGGAAAAAACATTTTTCAGGGACCCTTGACTATCATAAGAATTTTAAAAAGTAGTTAAAACAAACTCATTAGGGAGAAACAACACAATTAGAGAAGTAAAGGTTTGCAAGAACTAAACGCATGGCATCCCAGGAGGCAGAGTGGACACAGCTCTAGATCTGAGACACGTTAAGCTAAAAAAAAAAAAAAAGGCCATTTTTTCCTCTTTCTCCTCTTTCTCTGGGATTCCTTTTAAGATGAGATTCTATGGACAAATTACACCTGCATGTTGGGAATATGCTTTTAAAGGTGTCAGCACCACCTGTTTACTTGCTACCACCACACCCACAGGCAGAGGGATCAAGACCTGCAGAAAAAGTCCACCCATTTTTGTCCTTCATAACAGAAGAAATTCAGGAAAAATAAGCTGCTCCATGGAAATAAAAATGTAAGTTTCCGATCAGGTATGGTGGCTCACGCCTATAATCCCAGCACTTTGGGAGGCTGAGGCGGGCGGATCACGAGGGCAGGAGATCGAGACCATCCTGGCTAACATGGTGAAACCCCGTCTCTAGTAAAAATACAAAAATTAGCTAGGTGTGGTGGCGGAGTCCCAGCTACTCTGGAGGCTGACGCAGGAGAATGGCATGAAACCAGGAGGTGGAGCTTGCAGTGAGCAGAGATCACGCCACTGCACTCCAACCTGGGCAACAAAACGAGATTCCGTCTCAAAAAACAAACAAACAAACAAAAAGTAAATTTCCCTGTTCCTGCCCTAATGTGCCCTCCACTGCCACAGACACCAGTAATTTCTGCTATGGTAATGGAAATATGGGCCACACTGCCCTCTTCCTACCAAATCCAAATAGGTACAGCCCTGTGACCACCCTTTATTGCAAAAGGAAACTTAACTCTCAGGCTGGGCACAGTGGCTGACAACTCTAATTCCAGCACTTTGGGAGGCAGAGGCGAGTGGATCACTTGAGGCCAGGAGTTCAAGACCAGCCTGGCCAACATGGTGAAACCCTATCTCTAACAACAACAACAAAAAATTAGCAGGGTGTTGTGGTACCTGCCTGCAGTCCCAGGTACTTCAAAGGCTGAGGCAGGAGAATCACTTGCACCTGGGAGGTGAAGGTTGAAGTGAGCAAAGATCATGCCACTGCACTCCAGCCTGGGTGACAGAGCAAGAGTGGGTCTCAAAAAACAAAACAAAACGCAACTCAATTCACATGAATGTATCTTGAACAACTCATACCTGATTCCGTCCTCACCTTAGTCACATGAGAAACTTAACTAAAACAACATGGATGCTTCCACCTAGAGTAATAAACATGTAGAAAGGGCATGAGTAAAGAAATTTCTGCAAATTGGTCATGTAATCCTAATTAGAAGCCTGGGCTAATAACCACTTAGCTAAGCATTGCCTTCCAAGCATTAATGAGCTTATAAATCACTTGGTGATTTTGGCCCCGCTCTATGTAATGAGATTCTGCAGGTTTGGAAAGGGTTTATGAATGGGTGTTTCAAACAAGTCCCCTGTGAATGCTCCTCCTGGGCTCGTTATTAGCATTAGTTAGAGAAAACAGGCACAGCACAGTCCCTTACACTCAGCATTCTTGTCACGACACAAATGCTTCTAGGACAAATGAAGACAATCAACTTTCATATTCTTTGCTGGCTCTAAAGTTTACAGAACAAACAGAAGGCAGCCATATCTGAATAAATCTGCATTTGAAAACCATTTTCACATGTACTAATGCAATGTTTATAAAGCAGGTACTGTGTGCTGAAGAGGATATTACAGAACACTTCACTGGGAATTACACATTATGTGATTTAATCCTCACAACACCTTGGGAGCTGGTACTAAATGTTTAATAATTCTCAGGATTTAGATTAAAAGTGCAGCATTTTTTTTGTTCTGTTTCTCTGTCACTGATTTCATTTAAAAATGTACAGAATAAAAGCTAAATACAGACAGAGGAGAAGGGTAAAGAAAAAGTTTAATGTAGCTTAAATTTTTATTGTGTTTATATTTACTTTTTTGTGACTTGTGGAGCAACTACTGCATCTGCAGGAATAGAAAACAGTTTGTTAAATGGAATATCTCTGCAAGCACTGGTTTTAATAAAAATTTAAAAATCAAAGTTCATACATTTTTTTCTATTTATCTGCTTTTGGGTTTCAGAAAATTGTGTGCACTGGCTCTAGAAAGGCTGCAGGATTCACTATCCAATACTCTGATCTCTTCTAATCAGTTCTGTGAGACAAGGCTCCAGGGTGGGGTCAGACCTAAATAAGGCCTCCAAAAAGGGTGAATCTGAACAGGGCTGGGGCAGAGAGTGGACCCTATGTAGAATTCTGCTCTCTATGCCCCTGGGGTATTTCCAGTTCTGTTTTTCCTAAGTTTACCTAAAAGAAAACTAAATCACACAGTTGTGAAATTTTAATCTTTTGTAGCCACTGCCCTGTCAATTTTATAACATATGCTAATAAGCAATTTAAACAAATCTCTTAGGGTTTTGTAGGGTAATTTTATTAGAAGATAAATATGTATTCTTAGCAAGGTATAAGAAATAAGAATAATAAAACAACGCTTGTGTCCGTAAACATCCACTCAAATGATGACATCAGAAGTTACAAAAATATAAAGAAAGTTGCCCAAATAAAGCCTTTTTTTTTTTTTTGCACACATCTATTCATTGTGCTAACCATATGCCATATGATGTTTAATTCAACCAAGTTGAATTCAGTTGCTTGTCTAAACTAACAGTTCCTGGATGGTAGGGACAATAATGCTTCATCTATTTTTCTAATGGCCATATGAAATGGTAGCAATTAGTTTATCTGTTTGAGTCTCCAGACCTCTTCGTTTTTCACTGACGTACCAGGAAACTGGAGAAACTCTCATCTGGGTACCAAGCAAAGACATCTCTTGTATGAGGGGAGGGACAAACACAGGATGACTCATTTCTCTTACACTGAGAGAGAAGCTGAATTAACCGTTTTTGTCAGCCTGACGCAGTTCTGCTGTGGACATCCTCAAATGTCTGAGAGATGCCTAGGTGATTGTGAGAAGATTCCCAGTGACCCTGGGCTGATTGCTTAAGGATAAGCTAAGCAGGGCAGACTCAGGCTGATTCTAAATAGAAAATGGAACTGCCCTGGTGGACCTCCAGAACCTGGATCACCTGTCTTGATTGGCAAGCTCTTGGGTAAGAAGGACAAGAATACTCCAGTATCCTATTTTACAGGTAGGTATAGTTGTGGTCATGGCTCTGGATACTTTGTGACCTTGATCTCTCACTCCTAAGATGCCTGTTTACACTTACAGATTCTGCCATCAGATTCTATTTACATCTGGAGCCTCTTACATTATTGTAGCAGGTCATTGAAAAAGATCTGAAAAGTTCAAAGAGCCACGCT